TTAGATTAAGGCCATCAGTCTAACTCCGCACTCCAACAAACATTGCCAAACCAAAAAACTTCTCGAAAGCACCAAAATAAAGCTATAAAATCAATGTAACAGTGATCATAGTAATTATGACCGAATTTTCACAATAAACGACATAAACAACATGTACCACGAAACCATGCAGCCATAGCTGGCTGCATGAGTCACTCCACAACAGCAGGAGCATCAGTCGGAGTATCAATAAGTATAACCCGTAAAAACAAAGTTTTTCACTATAAATCCTTTATATGCGTGCCGGCTAGAGTCCTCTCGTCCTCTGGCTTGAGATGGCTGCCACCTATGGGTCAGATGATTGCATTGCACCATTAAGCAATTGGTAATTAAATATAATATTTTTGTCCTAAAAAGTGTAAAATTTTTGAAAAAAAAATTTTCACGAACATTAATTGTCACGCACAACGAGTCTGTGTGCAAAATGTCAGCTCGATTGGATCACGGGAAGTGGGTTAAAAAACGACCGAAAGATTTGCACGGTCCTAAGCAAGCAAGCAAGCGAACTTAATATAAAGGATTTAGAAATGTTCAATGCCCCCTTAAGATCAGCACACTAAATCAAGACACGTATCATACTTTGCAGCGGTCATCCAGAGCGAAACATTTTATTTTAGGCCACTGAATAGCAGTGGCAGCTAGGGGTGTAAAACTCCTCTAGAGAAGAGGTCGTCATCCTCGCTAACAGCATCAGCAGCAGACTCAGCGGCAGTGGCTTTTGGCTGGCCGTCCACCAAGAGAGGGCCCACGCCACAGTCGCTCAACAAAAGCCAGTCGCCTCCCTATGGGGCCGTCCATAAATGACGTCACGCACCTAGGGGAGGCGGGGGGGGGGGTAAAACATTTGTGACGATATGTGACGAGGGGGGGGGGGTTTGAAAAATGTGACGTCACATCAAAATGCGCAACTTTAAATAAATATAGACGACACGACGTCGTGAGAATTGTATTGTAGTTTTATTTTTATTATTTTATTATTTCCATTCTACGTGACTTTACCGAAAGAACCAAGAAGATGAATCCCTGCAGTCACGAAAGCTTTAAATCGAATAAGTAAACCCGTAAAAACAAAGTTTTTCACTCTAAATCCTTTATATGCGTGGCGGCTAGAGTCCTCTCGTCCTCTGGCTTGAGATGGCTGCCACCTATGGGTCAGATGATTGTCTGCAGTATTAAACAATTGGTAATTAAATATAATATTTTTGTCCTATAAAGTGTAAAATTTTGGAAAAGAATGTTCACGAACATTAATTGTCACGCACAACGAGTCTGTGTGGATAATGTCAACTCGATTGGATCACGGGAAGTGGGTTAAAAAACGACCGAAAGGTTTACACGGTCGTAAGCAAGCAAGCAAGCACGCAAGCAAGCGAACTTAATATAAAGGATTTAAAAATACACTAAACATTAAATTATACACGAAAATATACACTACTATACCCTACACTATACACTGCTATACACTCCACAATACACTGCTATACACTCCACGATACACTACACTATACACTACACTATATACTACTATACACTACACTATACACTACACCATACACTATATACACTACACTATACACTCCACTTTACACTACACTATATACTACTATACACTACACTATACACTACTATACACTAAACGACTATACACTATATACTACTATACCCTACACAACTCTATATATTACTGTACCCAATACTATATATTACATTATACAATACACTATATATTAAATTATACAAGAAACTATACACTACTATACCCTACACTATACACTGCTATACACTAAACACTGGTAAACACTACACTATACACTACACGATACACTACTGTGATGTACCGCTACTTCAGCATATTGGCACTTCATGACAGAGAAGAGGACATGTCGCAGTGGACACCTACGACTACGGGGCTATCTGCCCATGGACCGTGATGATGACGAGGGTGGTTTTCATTTTTCCTGGTAGGGGCTGTGCATGGGATTGTCTCTTTGTCCATCAGCAAGATCTTGCCGTCCCATGTGTGTGCTCGCGACCAGTTTGTACACCTCCCGCTCTCGATTATCCGCGGCTAATGATGGGCAGGACGGCCGCGGATAATTCAAAATTGCAGATAATCCAAAAAAATATCCATTTTGTCCGCGGATCATTCCGGAACGAATGCTAACGATCAATGGCGGAGCCAGGATTTTTCATGTAGGGGGGGGCAACCCCTCTAGCAATGAAACATGATCGGAGTTGTTCATAAGTAAGGAATTGTCCCTTGCTTTTTATTCGACACGTGTGCGGCAATGGCGCAGCCATCGATGGAGGGTCGAATTCGAACCGCGTTGTGTGATCGGCATCACGCTCGCTGAAGGTGTTGATGCCTTCAGGGAAGTCGTGTGGACTGTATACGCAACTGCGCACAATTTTGAGTCACTTATAACCGCTTTGCCGTTACTTATTGCCAATTATGGACTCAGACTATTGTCCTATCATCTCATAAGAGTCCCTGGCACGTAATAATATGCTACACAGTGGCAGTGGGGGTCGCAAAATGCCGATTTATTACTAATAAACCCCAATTATCCGATCGAAATTAGGGATTTCGATAGGACCATTGGGGGAGCAAGTACACCCCACCCCCCTACTGGCTCCGCCAGTGATAACTATCGACCTATCGATGATGCTTGTGCTCAGTGATGACACTTTCCTGGCTCCCGGCCAGCAGAAGACTCGGCCCGCAATGTAGATGACAGCAGCAGAGCCACGCCAATCAACATCCATCAAACTCCACCACCCACTGTTGAAAAGATATGGCAACTACTGTACTGTAGAGGCGACCGCGTGGATTCGGATTAACCGGAGCAACATATTTATTCGGTTTGAGCACCGTGTGACTTGTAACAAACATTTCCAAGAATAACAATGCATGGCCGTTTATAGATTATTAATTCGGGTTTAAGGGGAAAATCCACGAGTTATAAATTTACGTCAATCTCAGCTGCGCATTTCATCCGCCAAATCGGATAAGCCACACGCGCGGATAATCGAGTGTCTACTGTATTCTTTTAGCGTGGCATTCAATGTCGCCACATTTGACTTTTTTTCCAGCGATTCCTGCTAATCCTTTCTTGCGTCTTTTCTCGTGACGGTTCCAAGGCTTTCTCAGTTGTCAATCTTCTTTTTGCGTTTTAGTACTAAAAGCGGGGATTGTTTGCTTGTACTGCTTGCTCTCCGCTATCTTCTTCGGTGTGCTAATGCATTTCTGTCTATGCTAAGGGAATTTTTTTTAAATTAATAAACAAATTAATAATTTGCACCAAAACGAATCATGAGTTAAAAAAAGCTCTTTTTTAAATCCTTTATATTAAGTTCGCTTGCTTGCTTGCGTGCTTGCGTGCTTGCGTGCTTGCTTGCATGCTTACGACCGTGCAAATCTTTCGGTCGTTTTTTAACCCACCTCCCGTGATCCAATCGAGCTGACATTTTGCACACAGACTCGTTGTGCGTGACAATTAATGTTTCCAAAATTTGACACTGTTTAGGGAAAACAAATTAAATATTTAATTACCAATTGCTTAATACTGGCAGACAATCATCTGACCCATAGGTGGCAGCCATCTCAAGCCAGAGGACGAGAGGACTCTAGCCGCCACGCATATAAAGGATTTATAGTGAAAAACTTTGTTTTTACGGGTTATACTTATTCACAGATATCCAGCAGTGCTGATTGTGGACGCCACGGTGGCTAGGAGATGTTTGCAGCTGCTGCTGTGTCCTGTACAGCGCTTTGAGATCCTTGATTAAAAGCCGCTTTATAGATGTCATTATTATTATCATCAACATCGTCTTCGTCATCAAATCACGACCGTCATTCTCTTTTGGGGAGGAAACTTTATTTGGCGACAATTAAACGACGGACACGTGCAGCTAAAACAAAACGTTGTCGATCAAACCGAGAGTGGGGAGAGGAGGAAGGGGGGGTGAGGTAAATAAACATCTTAATTTCACCCTTTCTCGTTCCGATGACGTCTGGCAAGTCGCAGGGTGGTGTGTGGGTGGTGTCCCATTCACTGCTGAATCTCGGAACGCGGGAGCAGCTCAGCGTTAATTTTATCTAGAAGCGTAGCGGGCAGCAGCGCCGTTGTTTTTATAAAGACGTCGTCACACACAGCAGAGAACTCTACGATAGCCGGCGGCAAAGCTGTGCCACATGACCCCCCCGCGTGGCCTTGTTGTGGGAGCCCCGGTGCACCGATAAAGTTATTTGATTTTAGTTTTTCTTCCGATTCCGTACCGATGACGTACGTATTTATTTCAAGTAATTAATTAGGCCAATACGTACGTGTGTGTGTGTTTACGCCATCGGAATGGAATGGGAAGAAAAACTACAATCAAATAACTTCATTGGTGCACCGAGGCTCCCACCACAAGGCCACGCTGGAGGGGCGTGTGGCACAGCTTTGCTGCCGGCTATCGCAGAGTGGCGGCGGTCGTGTCGCTACGGTTCTCTGCGGTGAGTGACGACGTCTTTATAAAAACAACGGTGCTGCTGCTGCTACTACGCCTCTATAAATAAATGTAACTATGAGCCGCTCGCACGTTCCCAGATTCGCCGGTGAACGGGACACCACCCACAACGCTGAAACTTGCCAGACGTCATCGGAGCGGGATTTGGGAGGGCTTTCCGACACACATTTTACTCAAGCCGGCGATCCGTTACCCCCGTGAGGGAAAATAAAATCGCAAATTGACTCGAGCAAAAAAAAAAAACGTCGCTCGAAAACCACCCGTCCGTGATATTTCACCTGCAGTCACCACATATCCATCCATCGCCTTTCCCCGCGCGAGTGCAAACCGTGCATTCAAAAAAGGCGTTCCTACTCGCCTATGTGTGTCCGGAAAAAATGTTTCTTCAGAGCGTCGATCCGCAAAAACCCTTCCCCACAATCGTGGCACGTGTACTCAACCTCCTCAACCTCGCCGGAGTGCACCTGCGAATGCTTCTTCAGGTGCGACGGGTGCGAGAAGCGCCTGCCGCACTGCCCACAGGCGTATGGCCTCTCGCCCGTGTGCATCGTCGAGTGCTTCTTGAGGTCAGAGCGCTGGCAGAAGCCCTTCCCGCACTCCGTGCAGACGTGTGTCCTCTCTCCCGTGTGCGTCGCCAGGTGCACCTTCAGGTGGGAGCTCTGCGCGAAGCCCTTGCCGCACTCCCTGCACGCGTACGGCCTCTCGCCCGTGTGCGTCCGCGCGTGCGTCTCCAGGTGGAAGCGCTGCGCGAAGCCCTTGCCGCACTCGCCGCACGCGTACGGCCTCTCGCCCGTGTGCATGCGCGCGTGCGTCTCCAGGTCAGAGCGGCGCGAGAACGCCTTTCCGCACGCGGCGCAGGCGTGCGGCCGCTCGCCCGTGTGCACTATTGAGTGCTTTTTGAGGGCCGAGAGCTCCGAGTAGCGCTTGCCGCAGTCGGCGCACGCGTGCGGTCTCTCGCCCGTGTGCGACCTGGCGTGGCGCTTCAGGCCGTAGCGGTAGGGGAAGCCCTTGCCGCACTCGGCGCACACGTGCTTGGGCCGGTCGGCGTCCGTCGCGTCGGCGGCGTCGTAGCGGACGCGCCGAGGCCTGTCGCGTTGCCGTCTGCGCGAGCTCCCGGCCGTTGGTTGCGGGCGGCTCTCCGGCCTTCGGCCGAGACTCGTGCCTGTGCCCGGAGACTTCGCGCACCGCGTGCAGGCCGGAGGGATTTGACTGCTGCCGCTGCCGTCGCTGCCGGCACCGCCTACGTCGCGATTCGCGTCGCCCGCGTGCGTCTGCAAGCGCTTGCCGAAGCCCCTGCCGCATTCGTCGCACGGCAGTTGCGTTTCGTCGGCCGCGTCTGTCCGCAGAGATTGCAAAAAACACAAAATATATTATTTTTTGGTTGAAAGGTTAAATAGAATGGCGTGCCGGTTTTGTGGCTATCCACAATCGCTAATTGCACTGTGGGTTATTTCTACGTGCGGGAAGGGCATGGCACCATTGGGTATCCTGCTCCGACATCTTGGCTTATCCTACTGTAGTGGCGTACATAGTGTGTTTATAGCGTTGCACTGGCGGAAAGGAGGTAGTGCAGGTGCGGGACCTCTCCCTAGCACTGACGTGTATAAGTGAGGGGTTGGGCCCCTAGAGGGCATGGTCTGAGTGCCAGTGGGGAGAGGCCATGTTCAAGTTCAAGTTCATGTATTAGGTGTAGCCCTGTGAGCCATTCGGCTCTTGAATCGGGTGCAACCGCAACAAACAAAAAACTAAAACATGAACAAGAAAACATCTTAAAGTGAATATGTGACTAAGTGCAAACAGAAAATCCAAGAAAAGACGGCAAAAAATTGTAGAACAAGCACCGTACACCAACGCTGTGTGCAAAAATCCCAGTGGGATTCAAGTCAAACAACAACAACAACAACCACAAGACAACTTAGATTAAGGCCATCATTCTTACTTCGTACTACAACAAACAAACATGGCCAAACCAAAAAACTTTTCGAAATCACCAAAATAAAGCCATGAAAGCAATGAAACAGTGATCATAGGAACTGTGACGGAATTTTCACAATAAACGACAAACAACATGTACCACCAAAACCCTGCAGCCATAGCTGGCTGCATGAGTCACTCCACAACAGCAGCAGGAGCATCAATCGGAGTATTAGAATTTTTCAATGCACCTTTAAGATGAGCACACTAAATCAAAACACAGGTCATACTTTGCAGCGATCATCCGGAGCGAAACATTTTATTTTAGGCCACTGAATAGCACTGGCAGCTAGTGTGAGGACATGGTACTCCAGGTGAACTCGGGCAGGGCACGTGACCGGACGAGGGGATAACGGGGGGGGGGGGGCAGGGGGCATGTGGCGGGCCGCGTGACCAGAGCCCCGACTCGACCAGAAAGATCTGGAAAGGGGGTGTAGCCAAGGGCAGAGTCATGCGTATGGTCGGGGCTCGTCTCGGGGTATGGATTCAGCGGGCTACGTCTACGATCTTCGGGCTTCGGCGTGGACCTGACAGCGCGTGGCTGTCTGGATCCGAGCGGGTAGACGTCCCGTCGAGTGGCTGTGAAATAGCCGTGGTGCTCCCCGCCGAATATAGTTATTCCATCGGTGGTTACGAAGTTACCTGTGGTGGTTACCGCCGTATATATATATTCGCTATTAAGTGGTTATGTGTTAGCCCGTGGTGGTCAACACCCTAAGTAGTTATCCAGTGGAAGTTGTGTTCAAGAAATAAACGTGTTGCCTCCAAGTCTTGGCGTGTGTCTGAATAGAACTCACTACCATTGCTATGCAGATGACACTCAAATTTGTATCCGGTTAGGACCGTACTATGCAGCAGCTTCTTTTGCGCTGTCTGCATCACAAACAGTAGCACATTCATGGTTTCGCCAAAACTTTTTGCTACTCAATGCCGACAAGACCGAAGCCATAATCATCGGCTCCCCTCTGCATCTTTCTAAAATTGGTTCACCTCGTTTGCTGATTGATGGTCACGATGTCTGTCCCACACGGGAGGTCAGAAATCCTGGTGTTCAGTTTGACCAGTAATTATCCTTTGAGAGACATATCTAAGGTGCTAAAAATGTCCCTTTTCCACCTAAGAAATATTACCAGAATGCATCGCTTCCTGTCACCTGGTGACTTGGGAGAGATTGGTCCATGCTTTTGTGTAATTCTGACTCGATTGCTGCAACGCCTCACTGGTTGGCATTCCAAACAAGGTACTGGGCAGACTCCAGCTTGTTCAGAATGCAGCTGCTAGAGTGCTGACACCACGTAAACCATTATGTGAGCACATTACACTCAGGTCGCCTTGTCTCTTCATTCGCTCACACAATCCAGCCTGGTTAAACCCAAGATGGATCGTAGGCAGGCCAGCCTAAACGTTTCTAACCGGTGAAGATGCTCCATTAGGGGGGTCCACGTTTCGCAAGCGTAGAGAAGGGAGGGAATGACCGTGGCCGAGAAGACCTGAAGGTTCGTGTAGAGCGACAGACCAGGTAGCTTCCACACAGTGTTATGCAGCCGATGAAAAGATAATGCTGCTCAACTTATTCGGAGTGAGACCTCTGCTGTTAAACTGGAGCCGGTCGAAACACGACACTATACTAACACACACGACACATGTGTTGCGTTTCTGCCCACGCGACGCGATCACAGGGGGACTCACCTTGACCCGTGTCCTCATCCAGCAACTGCACCTCAACAAACTTCTTGACGTCTTCCGCCCACACCTCCACCATGAACGGCTTCCGCTCCGATGTTGCCGCCTGTCCACGGTAGCTCCCCGACTCCCACAGCCTTTCGGTCGCCCCTTCTTCTTTGGCATCGCCGAAACGACTCCCATCACCGGCTGTGGATTTTGACAGCGCGCCGCGGCTGACACGGCGACTCGCGTCGCAGGCCGATTCAGCCGCGGTTGGCTACGCACGGCGTGAAAGAAGTTCAACATACGTACTGTCCATGGACTCAACACTGCCCATGGACTCAACACTGCATATAGACTCAACACTGCCCATAGACTCAACACTGCCCATAGACTCAACACTGCCCATAGACTCAACAGTGCCCCAGACTCTAACGCTGCCCATTGACTCAACACTACCCATAGACTCAACACTGCCCATAGACTCAACACTGCACCATAGACTCAACACTCCCCATAGACTCAGCACTGCCAAAAGACTCAACAGTGCCCCAGATTCAACAGTCTGGGGCACTGTCCTGTATAGTAGTGTATAGTGTAGTGTATAGTGTAGTGCAGGGGTCGGCAACCAAAATAACAAGAAGAGCCATTTCTTTCCAATTCGGTACAAAATTCAGTATTTCAAGAGCCGCAATGCATACTGTACATACGTACATATCGTCAAGAAGCAGCCCGTAAAGAGCCGCATGCGGCTCCAGAGCCGTAGGTTGCCGACCCCTGGTGTAGTGTATAGTAGTAGTGTATAGTGTACTGTATAATGTTGTGTATAGTAGTGTATAGTAGTAGTGTATAATGTAGTGTATAGTAGTAGTGTATAGTGTAGTGTATAGTGTAGTGTATAGTGTAGTGTATAGTGTAGTGTATAGTAGTGTATAGCGTCCTGTATAGTAGTGTAGTGTATAGTGTAGTGTATAGTGTACTGTATAGTGTAGTGTATAGTAGTGTAGTGTATAGTAGTGTAGTGTATAATGTAGTGTATAATGTAGAGTATAATGTAGTGTATAGTGTAGTGTGTAGTGTATAATGTAGTGTATAGTAGTGTATAGCGTCCTGTATAGTAGTGTATAGTGTAGTGTATAGTGTAGTGTATAGTGTAGTGTAGTAGTGTAGTGTATAGTGTAGTGTATAGTGTAGTGTATAGTGTAGTGTATAGTGTAGTGTATAATGTAGTGTATAGTGTAGTGTATGGTGTAGTGTATCGATGGCCAGCCAACTGATCTCACCGGCGTCGTCAGCGTCGTCACCTCGCACCGTGAAGTCGGGACGGAGCTTGGGACTTTGACTACCCGTGTCTTCTTCTTTGCCGATCGGAAACTCCGCGCGCGACGCCATCTGCGAGAATCAGAGACGTGTTGGAGGGGGGCGTTTAAAACGTCGAACGGGGTCGGGGTGAACGATTGACCTCCAGAGGGTGAATGTGAAGCCGCTTCTTGTAACAACGTTGTGAATGTTTCATTAGCCTTTTGTGACAAGAGAGTACGGTGTGAGAGACACACACAGAGAGAGTGAATGGTGGTGTGAGTGTGAATTCACCTCTGTATAGTGTACAGGGTGAGAGAGACAGAGAGAGTGAATGGTGGTGTGTGAATTCAGTTCTCGTGACAACAGTGAACAGGGTGAGAGAGACAGAGAGAGTGAATGGTGGTGTGAGTGTGAATTCAGCTCTTGTGACAACAGTGAACAGGGTGAGAGACAGAGAGAGAGTGAATGGTGGTGTGAGTGTGAATTCACCTTTCGTGACAGCAGTGAACAGGGTGAGAGAGACAGAGAGAGTGAATGGTGATGTGAGTGTGAATTCAGCTCTCGTGACAACAGTGAACAGGGTGAGAGAGACAGAGAGAGTGAATGGTGGTGTGAGTGTGAATTCAGCTCTCGTGACAACAGTGAACAGGGTGAGAGACAGAGAGAGTGAATGGTGATGTGAGTGTGAATTCAGCTCTCGTGACAACAGTGAACAGGGTGAGAGAGACAGAGAGAGTGAATGGTGGTGTGAGTGTGAATTCAGCTCTCGTGACAGCAGTGAACAGGGTGAGAGAGACAGAGAGAGTGAATGGTGATGTGAGTGTGAATTCAGCTCTCGTGACAACAGTGAACAGGGTGAGAGAGAGACAGAGAGAGTGAATGGTGGTGTGAGTGTGAATTCAGCTCTCGTGACAACAGTGAACAGGGTGAGAGACACAGAGAGAGTGAATGGTGGTGTGAGTGTGAATTCAGCTCTTGTGACAACAGTGAACAGGGTGAGAGAGAGACAGAGAGAGTGAATGGTGGTGTGAGTGTGAATTCAGCTCTCGTGACAACAGTGAACAGGGTGAGAGAGACAGAGAGAGTGAATGGTGGTGTGAGTGTGAATTCAGCTCTCGTGACAACAGTGAACAGGGTGAGAGACACAGAGAGAGTGAATGGTGGTGTGAGTGTGAATTCACCTCTCGTGACAACAGTGAACAGGGTGAGAGAGACAGAGAGAGTGAATGGTGGTGTGAGTGTGAATTCACCTCTCGTGACAGCAGTGAACACGGTGAGAGAGACAGAGAGAGTGAATGGTGATGTGAGTGTGAATTCATCTCTCGTGACAACAGTGAACAGGGTGAGAGACAGAGAGAGTGAATGGTGGTGTGAGTGTGAATTCAGCTCTTGTGACAACAGTGAACAGGGTGAGAGAGACAGAGAGAGTGAATGGTGGTGTGAGTGTGAATTCAGCTCTTGTGACAACAGTGAACAGGGTGAGAGAGACAGAGAGAGTGAATGGTGGTGTGAGTGTGAATTCAGCTCTCGTGACAACAGTGAACAGTGTGAGAGAGACAGAGAGAGTGAATGGTGGTGTGAGTGTGAATTCAGCTCTCGTCTTGAGTGAATTTCACTACCAACCTGCAGGTCGCTCCAACGCACGCAGAGCGACGAGATGCGGCACAAGACGGCTGGACAAGACAGACAGACACGGGACAAGACGACGAGATGCGGCACAAGACGGCTGGACAAGACGGTGAGACACGAGACAAGACGACGAGATGCGGCACAAGACGGCTGGACAAGGCAGACAGACACGGGACAAGACGACGAGATGCGGCACAAGACGGCTGGACAAGACGGTGAGACACGGGACAAGACGACGAGATGCGGCACAAGACGCATGGACAAGACAGACAGACACGGGACAAGACGACGAGATGCGGCACAAGACGGATGGACAAGACAGACAGACACGGGACAAGACGACGAGATGCGGCACAAGACGGATGTGGAGACGCCGTGGTCGTTGCCAAATCTCCAAAGCCACTCAACGTCCGAGTGGTATTTCAATTTTGCCATCAGTTTTAATCAGATCAGAATCAGAAACGGTTTTAATCGCCATGTAAGTTTGCACAGACAAGGAATTCACTATGGCGGGACGGTGCATACATTGAACAAGTAGGAATCTTAACTTATATAAAAGGTATACACTCTAACTATACTAACGTTACAAAGTATAAGTAATACCAAAGCACTAAAATCTTTAAAATTATGAATAAGTAGACCTTATAACATGCGAAATGTAAAATGTCAATTAGCCGTATTAGACAATCTTAAAATACAAAAATAAAATTACACGTTGTAAGTATGGAACGGTGTAATTATGTAGATAAAATGTTATAGTAAGTGTAACAGTCATTTTAAGTGTAAAAGTCGTTTTAAGCCCTTGGCCTTGTTGAGGAGGCCAACAGCGGATGGGAAGAAACTGTTTTTATGACATGAGGTTTTGGTCTTGATGGACCGCAGCCTTCTGCCGGAGGGGAGTAGCTGGAACAGAGAGTATCCAGGATGCGAGGAATCGTCCAGTGGCGAGGCGGGGGGGAGGGGTTTGTTAAATGAAATGTATGAAGTACGCGTTAAAGCAGGGGTCGGGAACCTTTTTGACTGGGAGAGCCATAAAAGCCAAATATTTCTAAATATCTTTCATTGAGAGCCATATAGTGTAATTTTTAACGTATAATAAATTAAATATTGTCTTACTTTTAATGCGACTTCTGTTCACGGGACCCGTGACCCGTGAAATTTATCTTCAAAACTAATTTCTGTTCACTTTAAAATGACACAGTATTATTAAGCAATATCACAAGTATTTTAAAATCAGTTCCAAACTGATTTGATTATTATTTTATTATTTTTATTTTTTTCAACTCAAAATTGTCTGGGAGCCATATGCCGTCACCCGAAGAGCCATATATGGCTCGCGAGCCATAGGTTCCCGACCGCTGCGTTAAAGGGATTAATTTGTTCCACGACGATGGGAAGTTGACCTTTTTCCACCCTAAAAAACACGGTTTAGAATATCTAAACACGCATTTTTGTTTTGTTATGAAAACGAACGTTACGCGAACATATTAAAGCACGGATGTGAATAGAAACACGGACAAATAGTGGATACATGGAGCATGAAATCAAAATTCTTACCTTAGGCTAAGAAGATAGATGTGAAATCTTTCAAAACGAAATGATGAACGAAGCAAAGTGCCGACTACACCGAGCATCTTCTTGTTTCCTCTGATCGTAAAAAAAGAAGATAAATGGGGGTTCAGGGAGACGTTGGGGTGAAACAATTTAAGGCAATTGAATTTCGATTTAAAGCTTTCGTGACTGCAGGGATTCATCTTCTTGGTTCTTTCGGTAAAGTCACGTAGAACGGAAGTAATAAAATAATAAAAATAAAACATAATAAAATAATTCTCACGACGTTTCGGCTACTTGCGTTGTGGCCGAAACGTCGTGAGAATTATTTTATTATGTTTTATTTTTATTATTTTATTACTTCCCTTCTACGTGACTTTACCGAAAGAACCAAGAAGATTAAGGCAATTGCTTAACCAATTGTTTTCCTCACTTTATTGTCTTTTCTTCACTTTAGGGGCCGATCTCATTTAACTTTTAAGTAAAAGAAAAAAGCCCACAAAGAGTTTGTGCGAGCTGCTTCCATAAGCACACCCATCACCATCAGTCGTCTAAGAGCTTAGCTCGCCATTCGCTCATGGAAAACGGACGCGCCGCTGATTGGCCGAGGCCTGGCAAGTCCACTTCGGAGCGCTCCGATTGGCCGATATTTTTCGGGTCCGCGTGATGTCGTAGAAACCGTGCGTTAATCGAAAATTCATCGTTAATGGAACAATGGATGGGGGGGGGGGGAAGGTACCCTATGGGAGGGCAGATCATTAATGGAAACATCGTCAATAGATGGCATCGTTAAACCGAGGGAACCGCTGTACCCAAAAGGACCTGGAGAAAAATCCACAAGAGCACTGGGATAGAACCCACGACCTCCTGCATACCAGACGAGTTAGTCAACATTCTCCCAGCCACCGCGGCACCCTCACATCACACCCTGGCCGCTGTAATTTCCCCATTGCTGATGTATAGACACTGCCAGTACCTCGTTCAAGGCCGAGTCAAAATCAACCAACAAGACAAAGATCCCCCCGTGTGGCCTTAACAGACTGTTGGGGCAAGTGTTGTTGGCTAGTAGCAGAACCTATGAAGGCCGACACAGCACACAAGGGGGTGGGTGGCCAATACCACGCCCAGCCGCCTTTGTCTCCCCAGTGGCGACAGGTACTCATTGGATGCTGAGTCGACCGAGGGGAGGTCCCAGGACCAGTTCAAATAATCGTTACCGGTGTTGGTCATGAGTGGGAATCGAATTCGGGTCGCCGGTTTCGTAGTGCAGCGCAGCGCTAACCGCTACACTACCGCTCCCCACACACACACATGTCGCTGGCAGCATTGTCCCATCCTGTCTCGTTATCCATCGCCTCTCAACTATCATCATCACCACCACCGTACTTACTACTATTCAGTGGCGGCTCCTGCAAAATCTCTCAGGGGGGGCAAATGTCTGGATGATTGATAAGGATAAGGTCCACCCATGCAATGGATAAATTAACAGCTTAAGCATGTAAAGGCAACTTCACTTCTTTAATATTAATGAAAAATAAAGTGACTCTTACAATACATCTTGTTTGTTTCTATACTCACTATTAAAACAAACCACTCAAGTTTATTTTATTAAAGATTCCACTAGGTGGCGACAAATTATATTGTTGGATGAAACGTGCTTACGTATGACGTTAGCACGTATGATGACGTAAGCACGTTAGTGCGAGCCCTCCCGGAAGCCATAGAGAATGCATTGGAGTGCCCCACGGTCGAAAAAAAACTTCTTTCAATGTAAGTCTATGGGGCCACTCGGGGCGATTCTCAGCCGGAGTGAAATCGCCCAAAAAGAGGCGGTACTCCACAGAACGTGACATGACGCTGATTGGACTATATCCAGAGGCTGACAGTGACGGCTAGCGTGACTCTGTGGTTGAATGACATTGGTGGTGCGTCGCCCAATCGCCCTAATGAAGAAACCGCCCCTGCTACTATTACTACTCTGTGAGTCGCTGTGATGGACGTCGTTTCGATTTTCGTCGTCGCACCTTTCAGCAACGCATCGCCGCGCCCCCCAGATGTAAACTGGGGTGGTGTCACTGTGCACGTGGTCTCGAGGAGAAATCGAAGACGTTTTAAGTGTTTATTTTTGTTGTTATTATATACATGATGTGATTGTACGAAAGTGTGAAAACCATTCGCCGTTGCTTTTATATCCAGACGGATGAATTAATTTGAGAGGGTTTACACTTCCGAGTGCGTGTTATTGATTTACTCTTTCAAATCAGATGATCGTGTAAAGGCCCTTCCCACAGAAACTAAACTAAAACTATTTTTTATTTTACCAGGTAAGGACCCACTCTCTCTTTCAGAAGCGACCTGGCTATCACAAATGATAGCAGCTCAAGGAAGCAGCTGATATCATGATCCCGTAGAAATGTATTGCAGCAAAACACGAAGGGAAATCCGGAGGACCCGGAGAAAATTCCACGCGACCACGGGGAGAGAGAGAGCGAGAACACGCGGACTCCAAATATACAACAGGCGTTGTCAGGGTCGGGATCGAACCCACGTACCTCCTGCGTATCAAGCGAGGTAGTCAACATCTCCTAGCCACCGTGGCACCCCCTTGCTGGCACACGCGTGCGGCTACCCGCCAATCTTCGTACGTAGAACTTCTTTCGCGCCGTACGTGTTCTCTCGGCACAACTCCAAAAACAAAAAAAAGACCCGCCATCATGAGTGCACCGCCGAATGTTTCTTCAGGGTGTACGACCGCGTGAATCCCTTGCCGCACTCCCCGCACACGTGCCGCTTCTCGCCCGTGTGCAGCGCCGAGTGCGCCTCCAGATGGGCGAGACGCGCGAACCCCCTCCCGCACTCGCCGCAGACGTGCGGCTTCAGACCCAAGTGTAGCGCCGAGTGCGCATCCAGGTGGGAGCGCCGGGCGAAGCGCCGGCCGCACTCGCCGCACGCGTACAGATTCTCGCCCGTGTGCGTCCTCGAGTGCACCCCGAGGTCCGAGGAGCGTGCGAACGCCCTCCCGCACTCGGCACACGCGTGCGGCCTCTCGCCCGTGTGCGTCCTCGAGTGCTTGCCCAGGTCGGAGCGCTGCGCGAAGCGCCGGCCGCACTCGGAGCACGCGTGCGGCCTCTCACCCGTGTGCGTCCGCGTGTGGGCCCTCAGGTCGGAGGGCCTCGCGAACGCCCGGCCGCACTCGTCGCAAGCGTGCGGCCTCTCGCCCGTGTGTGTCCGCGCGTGCTTCTTCAGCTCCGAGCGCTGCGCAAAGCCCTTGCCGCACCCGGCGCACGCGTGCGGCCACGCGCCCGTGTGCGACACCGAGTGGGTGTCCAAAGCGTAGCGCGTCGCGAACACCAGGCCGCACTCCTGGCACCTGTGCTTCCTCCGATGGGCTGCGGCGGTCGCGGTCGCGGCGCCTTCGAGCGCCTTTCCACAATGCGCGCAGGCTCGCGGGGTCTTGTCGTTGTTGTTGTCGTCGCGTTGCGCTTTGCCCGCCGTCGTTCTGCGGCCTCCGCCCTTGCCGCACTCCGCGCACAGCAGTTCCTTCAACGCCGTCGATTCGTCCGCTGTGGCGTTTCGACAAAGGGCAAAGGCATCGCACCGACGGTCAAGGCACGGGTGGCGTTTTCGGATGGCCGTCGGGCAAAGGGCGGCGGTCGCCGCATCGCGAAGCGCTTTAGGACGCACTTCTGCGGCCGTCTGGAACGCTCTTCCTTCTAATATTAGGAAGCCGCCAGTGGGAGCTATGCCACTTTTAAATCATCATCTGAATTGAAAACTAATTTCTTTAGAACTGCTTGTTGTTGTTTTTGTTTGCTGTCTTTCCCCCGCACCTCCGATTAGCACGGTTGGCTACATACGGTGCGAAAGAAGTTCAACACACGGTACAAGGCACTTTGTTGAGCCATCATTTGTGATAGCCAGGTCGCTTCTGAAAAAGAGCTACATAGCTCCGTTGGTAAAATAAAATAAAAAGCAACCTCACAACATTTACAATTGAGTATGACGTTTGTATGTATGTACGTACGTTGAACTTCTGGCGCACCGTACGTAGCCAACCGTGCCAAGCACTTAGAAAGAAATTCGTTTTCAATTCAGATGATGACTTAAAAGTGGCATCGCTAAAAAAAAATTCCATCAGGAAGCATAGACGAAAAAAAATTACGTCCCATGATGTGATCAAAGGAGACTCACCGTCTCCAACGTCCTCCTCTGATAGGGCAACCTCGATGAAGTTCTGGTCTGGATTGAGCGGACATCCACGGCGGCTGCCTGTCTCCCCGGGCCTCCCACCGGCTCCTTCCACTTCAACAGTCTTCACATCTGGAGCTGGGATTTAAAAAAAACGCACCAAACGTTACCATTGAAAACACGGCCTTTGAAGATCTATTGGAGAATGAGGCAGGCCAAACTAGCCGGCTAGAGACTTCTCTGCTTCGACTCTTAAGACATTCTTGATATCTTGCCTTAGTTTAGGCGATTTCATTCCAGATTTTGCTCTGCTTGTTTACTGAAGGCACCGTGGCAGCTAAGAGATGTTATCTTTCTCGCCTGGTATGCAGGGGGTCGGGGATTCGATCTCGACCCTGACGCCTGCTGCTGTATATTTGGAGTTTGCGTGTCTCTCTCCCCATGGTCGCGTGGATTTTGTCTCCCGGTTCCTCCGGGTTTCCCCCCCCCCCCCCCACATTTAGAAACATGCATTGATATTATTTTGCTGCTATAAATTTCCACACGAAGAGCCGCTTTATTGAGCTATCATTTGTCATAGCCAAGCCACTTCTGAAAAATAAGTTAAGTGGGCTTTACCTGGTAAGATAATAAAGAGAGTTTAATTTTATTTGTATATTGAAGTGATTTGTGTACCTTCCCTATACTTGGCACTCCTATCGTGTTTGTGTGTTGTGTTTGTTGTTGTAACATTCTGACCGACTGGACATCTGCGAAAAAGAGCTTCATAGCTCATCGGATTCCTCCTGCAGCATAAATACAGAATCTGATTTGTAGATGGGATCTTACCATCTCCATTGACCTCGGATTTCACCACAATCCTCATTATCTCAGTGCCCAGACTCCCTTCATCATCTTCTTGCTTCACGACTGCTCCTGTACACAACAACAACAACAACAAAAGACAAAGATCCCCCGTGTAGCCTTAAAATACTGCTGGGGCAACTCACTACTCTACGGGACGTCTGGCAAAAACATTATCAAGCTGCAGTGTGTACAACATTCTTTAGCACGTGTCGTGACGGGTACTGCAAGATCCGACCGTGTCCGTCCGGTGCTCGCTGAGCTGCATTGGCTTCCGGTTGCCGAACGAATATGTTACAAGGTTGCACTCACTGCACGCAAAGTGCTTGGTACAACAAATGAACCACAATACCTTGCTGATCTCGTCAAGGAGCATAAACCATCATCAGGCGAACTCCGGTCATCCTCACATTGAACAAAAACCGTCACCGCATCGCGCGTTTTCAGATGCGCTTCTGTGGCCGTCTGGAATGCTCCTCCTTCCGATATCAGGAAGCCACTGGAGCTATGCACGTTTAAATAATCTAAATTGAAAACTAATTTCTTTAGAACTGCTTGTGGTGTTTAGTTTGTTGTCCTTCCCCCGCGCCTCCGATTGGCATGGTTGGCTACGTACGGTGCAAAAGAAGTTCAACATACATACACTCTACACTACAATATACACTACACTACTATACACTACACTACTATACTAAATTGAACACTCAATTCTTTCGAACTGCTTGTTGTGTTTAGTTTGTTGTCTTTCTCCCATGCCCCCCATTGGCATGGTTGGCTACGTACGGTGCGAAAGGAGTTCAATGTACAAGTTAAATTATTAGGTGTAGCCCTGTGAGCCATTCAGCTCTTGAATCGGGTGCAACCGCAACAAACAAAAAACAAAAACATGAACAAAAAACATCTTGAAGTGAATAACGTGCGTACATACACATCATATGCACATGCGATTGCTGCTCGAGCGGCGATTCAAACGCGACGAATCAGGAGAGATTCTTTCATTGACCTCACCGGCATGCGTGTCTTCACATCGCCCCGTCAAGCCAGGATTCTCTTCGTTTTCTTGTTTGATGATTGGTAATGGAACAAGGTGTGAAGCCATCTGAGCGGAAACAAATTGACACTACGACACATTATCCAATGTGCAAAAAAAAGACAAAGATCCCCCGTGTAGCCTTGAACAGACTTGGGGGAAGCGCTGTTTGCGAGTAGCAACACCTATGAAGTCCGGCACTTTGGCACACGAGGGGGTGGGTGGCCAGCACCACGCCCGACCGCCTTTGTTGCCCCAACGGTTGATGTTCACACACCGCACCAGGTACGCATTTGAGGCTGAGTCGACTAAGGGGAGGCCCAGGACCGGTTCAGATACAATATTCGGCGCTGGTGTTAGCCGTGAGCGGGAATCGAACTCAGGTCGATGGGTTCGCAGGGGAGCACGCTAATCGCTACACCACCATTCCCCATATGCACATTGAATGTGCATACACACACAGACAAAAATGGAAAATCATATGGATATTGGCAAGCGCTTATTTATCAAGTCAAGTCAAGCGAGAGGATGGTATGGCTGGAACCTAAATTAAATAAATGTTACTGGCAGGAACCTCCTGGTTACACCAGCCCACAGGGGATTATTGTGTCCGTCGTGCAGGGAGGGGCTGGGTGGGGAGGGAGGGGCTCGGTGGGGAGGGGAGGGTGGGGAGGGGCTGGGTGGGGAGGGTGGGGCTGGGTGGGGAGGGGCCCTTATACAACTCAACGTTTAACCTACTCACGCCGGCTTGTGCCCGCCCTCACAGTGGGACATATTTGCGGAATACACCACGCCGCCGTTGACCCTGCAGGCCATTGACCGAGCAACCCAATGTTCCTACCAGCTCCCTCCGCAGGAATGTGTTTACTTGACCAGGTAAGGCCCCACTGAGCAACTTTGCATCTCTGGCTATCACAAATGTTAGCTCAACGATTTGGCTTCATCATCGTCGTGTGGACATTTATAGCATCGGCCAAACAACTTGAACCGCGTGAAGTTGATTCTAAACGTGGAGGGGGGAAAAACCGAAGGACCCGGAGAAAAATCCACGTGATCACCGGGAGAGAGACACGCAAACAACAAATATACAGCAGCAGGCATCGTCACGGTCAGGATCGAACCCACGACCTCCTGCATACCAGGCGAGGTAGTTAACATCTCCAGAGGGAGAGAGACACGCAAACTACAAATATACAACAGGTATCGTCACGAACGGGATCGAACCCACGACCTCCTGCATACCAGGCGAGGTAGTTAACATCTCCAGAGGGAGAAAGACACCGCAAACTCCAAATATACAGCAGCAGGCATCGTCACGGACGGGATCGAACCCACGACCTCCTGCATACCAGGCGAGGTAGTTAACATCTCCCAGCCACCTTGCCCATTGCTGATGTTTGGATACTGGCAGTGAATCATTCATGGCCGAGTCAGAATCAACCAACAAGACAAAGATCCCCCGTGTAGCCTGTAACAGACTGTTGGGGCAAGAGCTGTTAGCGAGTATCAGCGCCTATGAACACACAAAGACAAAGGTCCCCCGTGTAGCCTGTAACAGACTGTTGGGGCAAGTGCTGTTAGCGAGTATCAGCGCCTATGAACACACAAAGACAAAGGTCCCCCGTGTGGCCTGTAACAGACTGTTGGGGCAAGTGCTGTTAGCGAGTATCAGCAGCGTCTATGAACACACAAAGGTCCCCCGTGTAGCCTCAAGCAGACTGTAGGGCCAAGTGCTGTTAGCGAGTAGCAGTACCTGTGAACACACAAAGATCCCCCGTGTAGCCTCTAACAGACTGTAGGGGCAAGTGCTGTTAGCGAGTATCAGCAGCGTCTATGAACACACAAAGGCCCCCCGTGTAGCCTCAAGCAGACTGTAGGGGCAAGTGCTGTTAGCGAGTAGCAGTACCTGTGAACACACAAAGATCCCCCGTGTAGCCTGTGACAGACTATAGGGGCAAGTGCTGTTAGCGAGTAGCAGCACCTATGAACACACAAAGACAAAGATCCCCCGTGTAGCCTGTGACAGACTGTAGGGGCAAGTGCTGTTAGCGAGTAGCAGCAGCGCCTATGAACACACAAAGACAAAGATCCCCCGTGTAGCCTGTAACAGACTGTAGGGGCAAGTGCCGTTAGCGAGTAGCAGTACCTGTGAAGGCCGGCAGCTGCGGCACGCGAGGGGGTGTGGGGGGTGTGTGGCCAGCACCCCCACGCCCGGCCGTCTTTGTCTCCCCCGGTAGCGACGTCCACAACTGCTGCTACACCCGGGGTCACTCAGCAGCGAGCACGCAGCCGGGCGACGAGATGCGGGGACAAGACAGCGGGATGCAGGGAGATGATGACGATGACGACGATGATGACGATGTGGTGACGTCATAAAGGAGGGGGGTGGCGTCTGGATGCGGTGTCGCCTTTCACTCCGATTTGGAGCCACAAGCGACAATCGCTTTAACGGGCGTCTGGCCCCAGACATGTCTCTTGTGGGCTTTGGGAAATGCAATCAAACATTGTTACACAGAAGGTCCGGCCACGGGTCAAATATTTAATGATGCCTGGTCATTTCAGCCGCATATACAGCATCGTGGACTTACACATTTTTCATCAAACTCGTATAACACGAATTACTAAGTGATGTACTTGATAGCGACTAATCAACAGAACAAGCAGAGTTTGGTAAGTCATTCTCAACAACAGACCACCTTTAAAGCAGTCAATACAATAAAGGAATTCACTGTGTACAGCAAATAACTGTATACATTTCATAGATTACCACACAAGGGATGCTATACTACAGAACAAGAACAATTACCATCAGTTCTAAAAGCAATATGGAATCGAAACAAATGGCGTACGTATTTCAAGGAACATCTACTACTATATAAAACTGGAATGCTCAGGACTGGATTTGAAGACCCAGAGATGTTAAAACAAAGGCGTGCACAGCCCCTTTTTGTCAGTCCACTGGTTGATGAGAGCACCCCCACGTTGATAATTGTTTTTTTACCCTTTTATCTGGCAACAAAACTGACACCTTTTTTTACAAGGAGTCATGTTTGCATAGACTACAATACCTGCAGTCGTAATGCAAACAAAAACATAACTCTGATAATGTATGCACTGTCCTTGAAGTTGATTGGTCCACACCCGAGACAGCTTTCCTTAAAGCCTAGTCTCACATGGTGTTGGACCAGATGACGCCAAAAGGCGCATTATGACTGCAGGTATTGTGCTCTATGCAAACATGACTCCTTGTAAAAAAAGGTGTCAGTTTTGTTGCCAGATAAAAGGGTAAAAAAACAATTATATTTTTCTACTGGCAAATGAGGTTCCAATTGTGTAAACACCCCCACGTTGTCTATCAGACGAGGGGTTTCTTTGACCATATTTCACCAACGATGGCCAGTGCAGGTAAAGGGACAAGGAGCATAGATGCGGGGGACATATAAGTACAGTGATACCTCGGTTCACGAACGCTTCTGTTCACGAACAACTCGGTTCACGAACAGAAAAGTTCGTAAAAATATGCTCCGGTTCACGAACTCCGCTTCGGTTCACGAACGGGAGCCGCGGCCATTTTAATGCTATTTCTAGGCTGTCACATGGTCATGACTTCCTGTAGGAAGATCGTGGAGAGAAGAGACACAGAAAGAAGTACTGTGAGTACTGTGAAGACACTTTCAGTGACTTTTTGCTTTTTGGTGTGCTTTTTAGCACATACAGTACTGTACTACTGTACTGTACTGTACAATACTGTACTTACTGTATTGTACAGTTCACCCGTTTGAGTGCTTACTGAAGTCATCTCAAGCAAGGTTAGTGTTCTCTCTTTATACATTACTATACTGTACAGTACTAATGTGTATTGTCATTTGTTTCATATTTTTGTGCTTCAAAAACCAAAAAAAAGGTCAGAACGGATTAACCGGATTTACATTGAACCCTGTGGGAAAATGTGCCTCGGTTCACGACCAATTCGGTTCGCGACCAGAGTCAGTTCACGAATTAAGTTCGTGAACCGAGGTATCACTGTACAGTACACCGATAGATTATGCTGCCTTGCCATTGTTACCTTTCAGCCCCAGAGTATGATGACTGTCGGTCAATGAATGGTGATCACCCATCCAAGTGACTAGTTTCAAGTTTGCAGTAGTCCCTCGGTTAACAGTGACATCGGTTAACGTTTTTTTCGTTAATGTTTCGCCTGCCATAGGAACCCCACGGGTTCAACTAACTTTAAAATGTTGACTAACAGGTACGTTTACGTTATGCACGCGGGCGCCAATTTTCGGCCAATCCGAACGCTCGTAAGTGGGGCTTGAGCCATGTTCTCAACCAATCAGCGATGCCAATTACTGAGCCGCTTAGACCTCGACTGGCTTTGTTAACATTAAAGGTTTTCTATTTTGGTCGTGGAAACAGCTCCTCTTGCAAACTCGGTGATTTTTACTTATAGCGTGTAATTTTTATATTTGATCAACAGTTATCGGTTAACAGTAGTTTTCGTGGAACGGATTAAACACGTTCTAACCGAGGGGCCACTTTATTTTGCTTAACCGGGTGAGAACTCAAGAGACCAGGATACGTTTCACTTGCGAAAGCGACCTGAGGCATTGGTCTGCCAATCAGGGTCAATGATTGCTACGTATGGTCTCAACTGACGAAAATCTGTTGGTAAATTTCAAATGACCCTGATGCAATGAGGAGCGATGTTCGCCAGCACAGGAAGCCACAGGAGTTAAGCGAACTTCGGGGTGCCATTGATGATATGAAGAGCAGTCTTAATTTTGACATCAACGAGGTTTGTGTGAGGGCTGGCACTCCAAAATTGCAACATTGCGTGAACCCATATTCCCAACTGCTCTTTCAGATGACCAGCTTCTCAGCAGAGTGTATTCTAGAATGCTTATTTAAATAAGCACGCGTTGTAAACCCCTTCCCACACCCCTTGCATAAGTGTGGTCTCTCGCCGGTATGCGTTATAGAATGTTTCTCCAAAGTGGAACGCTGTGCAAAACCCTTCCCACACTCCTCGCACATGTGTGGCTTTTCGCCCGTGTGCGTTCTAGAATGCATCTCTAAATTGTAGCGCTGCGTAAACCTCTTCCCACACTCCACGCACATGTAAGGCTTCTTACCGGTGTGTGTTACAGAATGTTTCTCTAAAGTGGAGCGCTGCGAGAACCCCTTCCCACACTCCTTGCACAGGTGCGGCTTCTCGCCCGTGTGCGTTCTAGAATGCATCTCCAAATTGTAGCGCTGCGTAAACCTCTTCCCACACTCCACGCACATGTACGGCTTCTCGCCCGTGTGCGTTCGAGAATGTGTGTCTAAAGTGGAACGCTGTGAAAACCTCTTCCCACACTCTTTGCACAAGTATGGCTTCTCGCCCGTGTGCGTCCTAGAATGCATATCTAAATTGTAGCGCTGCGCGAACCTCTTTCCACACTCATCGCACATGTACGGTTTCTCGCCGGTGTGTGTTCTGGAATGTGCCTCTAAAGTGGATGGCTTTGAAAACCTCTCCCCGCACTCTGTGCACATGTGTGGCTTTACGCCAGTGTGTGTTCTTGAATGTTTATTTAAATCGGTGCGTGCTGTAAACCCCTTCCCGCACTCCTTGCACACGTGCGGCTTCTCACCCGTGTGCGTTCTAGAATGAATCTCTAGATTGAAACGCTGCGTAAACCTCTTCCCACACTCCTTGCACGCGTACGGCCTCTCGCCGGTGTGCGTTCTAGAGTGGGTAATTAAAGTGCAACGCTGGGTAAATCCTTTCCCGCACTCCTTGCACACGTGCGGCTTCTCGCCGGTGTGCGTTCTAGAGTGTTTCTTTAAAGTGGAACAATGTGAAAACCCCTTGCCGCACACCTTGCACAAGTGTGGCTTCTGACCGGTGTGCGTTCGAGAGTGCGTCTCCAAATTGGAACGCTGAGAAAACCCCTTCCCGCACTCCGAGCACACGTGGGGCTTCTCGCCCGTATGCGTTCTAGAATGTCTCCCCAAGTGGAAACGCTGCGAAAACCCCATCCCGCACTCTGCGCACACATGCGGCTTCTCGCCCGTGTGCGTCCTGGAATGCTTCGCCAAGACGGAAAGCTTTGAAAACCCCTTCCCACACTCCTTGCAAACGTGTGGCTTCCTGCCAACAGCATCCGCCGCGTAACGCCCTCCTGGCCGATCCACTGGCGCAGAATCCTCGTTGCGTGTCGCGACCGTGGGCTTCTCTCCGGTTCGTCGTTTTTTCCTCCCGTTGCTCGGCGCGCAGGCCTGGAGCGTCTTTGCGCACTGCGCGCAGCCTCGGAGCGCCCGCCTGGCGCGTTTTGCTTCGTCCGCCGTCGGCGTTCCTAGCTGCCTGCAAAACTGCTTCCCGCACTCTGTGCAGAGCAGTCCCGTCGGGCGCCCGTCATCTGTCGCACATTTTCAAAAAACTAAATGAACGCAACACTTTAGGGGCTCTAAAGTACGGCAAGAGAGCAAATATGGGCGGTGTGCGTCACGTTGAGTCAGGTGTTTTAGCATCGAGGTTGAATGTCATTGTGAAAGCTTGATTCTCAGAGACAACATTTCAACGGGTCCAAGAGACAAAGCCTCGATTGAGTATCTAATAGGTAAGGGCTATATTAGCTTTGTAGAACGGTGAGCCAATGTGTGATGCCGCACCTCCGATTAGCAAGGATGGCTACGTACAGTGCCAAACAAGTTCAACAAACAAACATTACACTATACACTACAATACACACTACGCTATACACTACATACATTACACTATACACTAGAATACACACTACGCTATACACTACATACTACACTATACACTACACTACACACTATACACTACACTATACACTACTATATACTACATACTACACTATACACTACATACTACACTATACACTACAATACACACTACGCTATACACTACATACTACACTATACACTACACTACACACTATACTATACACTACTATATACTACATACTACACTATACACTACATACTACACTATACACTACAATACACACTACGCTATACACTACATACTACACTATACACTACACTACACTACACACTACACTATACACTACTATATACTACATACTACACTATACACTACATATTACACTATACATTATACTATACACTACAGTATACACGATACAAGAAACTACTATACACTAGACCACTATACTAAAACTAAATTCTTTAGAACTGCTTGTTGTCTGTAGTTTGTTGTCCATCCGCCGCAGCTCCGATGAGCACAGTTGGCTACGTACGGTGCAAAAGAAGTTCAACAC